TACGATTTACTGCTTTCTGATTCAAAAACCGGAGCATTTATTCAAACTAAGTTTTGAAATTAGTTAAAAGTCCTATAAACAGATGGCGCTTCTCATTATGAAAACTTAAACTTTATTTTATGCTGCATGTCAGATCATTTCAACTGAAAGTATTTACAAATGTGCATGTTAATTTTTTTTTAGATTGCTCCATATCATTCCTGCAAATGATGGTTGTTTTGAACACATTTTATGCTGACTGTGCCATCTGTAAACGAAGTTTGAAATTAATTTTGGGATTGGATGTGAATGAATTCCTGGTTTCTTGTGCAGAACGTTGTAGTTGTAGATCGTATGTTTTTATCTCTTTCCATTTTTCTTTACTTGATTTTTAAACTCGTTGGTCACTTTAGAGGTACACAGCGCATGGGAGGACATCGACACATGGGAGTTTAATTTTTTGTAAAATATTTGTCATACATACCGTTATATTACTGATCGTCAAAAATTGTTTTCTTTAAACTTTGAACAAATTGTTTCTTAATTTTGGGATTAATACCAGCTTTTTAGAATTTTATTTTTCATTTGAAATTAATATATCTCATTAGAACAAAAAAAACTGTGTTCACTATTATTAATTGCACATATTGATAAGTGTATTGATTAAAATTATTCAGGTGTGAAAAGGATTAAATGATATGCTTTAAAAATTCACAATTATCTTTCGATTAAAGGTTTTCAACCCCTTATCTTTAAATCAAATGCTATTTATAATAATCTGTTCTTTCAGGGAGGGGGAATATTTTTTTAATATTTAGATTAATTCAAGTGTTTTATGAGTGGGAGGATCAACTACTAAACGAAGTAAAATCCAACACGTAAGACCTAATCGAAACGAAATTTCTTAATTGAAACAAGAAAAGTCGAAAGTTAAAACTGTTTAGTATTTGTAAATGTTCTTTAATATTTTGTATATTCTTTTGTTATGAGGCTAAGTATCTCAGACATATTCTAAATAACAGTTTAGAGCGAAAATAATGCCTAATGTATTTCTGATTGGGATGGGAGACTCAGCATGGCGACATTTTTGTCGACTTAGCGGCTATTTTGGCAACAATTAATAGTTCTGAAAGCTTTGGGTTAGAAAGTGATAGGTCTAATATTTAAGGAAGAATCGTCTAAAATATATAGAACGTTTCGGGGTTTCGACGCCAAACCTATATAAATAGAAATGTGCCTTGCAGTGCAGTAGTAGTAGAGAATATTAGTCTGCTGTGACAACTATGTTGTTTTGCTCTGCGAGTTTAATTGAACGCCTGTAATTTCAAATCCTGTGATATGTTGCGTACTAAACTGCTATTTGAGCTGTAAATGAGTGCTAAAAATAGTTGTTTTATCTAGGAGATTCTGTTAATAAGTTTTTATAGTCTCATGGACTCTTTTATTCATCTGCAATCGAAATGAACCCCTGTGCTCCGTACAATACTATTGTTTCTTGCAACTATATATGTGATTAAAATAAGCGTGCTTTCACGTGTTAGTAATTTATCTAAAAAAAAAAATTTATTTTCAGAAAAGAAACTGAACAAAATTTTCAGGTTTTACGTGAACTTGTAAATGCTGTGCGAAGGAAATACAAAAATCCTAATAAATATTATAAAAAAAAGTCACAACATTGCAAAAAAAAATTTTTTTTTAAAGCTACAATATGTTTTTCCCATACAGAGAAAAAATAAAAACAGTATTAAATGGGAAACATATTTAAGGATTTTAAGAGAGAATTACATGGAAGTTTTTTTTAAAATTTTTTATAAAATTATTTAATCCTTGACTAAACACATTAAAAACTATTTAAGGGATAACGCTTGATAAATAAATATTAACTTTCAATTTTTCTTGTTACAGTTGAGAAATTCTGAGGTAATGATAAAGTCATTTAGTTTGTTTTTCAAGTTATTGGATAAAAAGAATTTGATATAGCAGCCAAAAAATAATGGTTCTCTGAACAAAAGAATAGCAACACAAAATAATCACCTTTTCAATTTAACATTTGTTTTTCAATGTATAATTTTCAGTTTATAATGTAAACTAAAAAAAAAAAAACGTCTTATCTCATTCAAAAATATTATATTCAAAATTCGTTAAGAATTATTAAACTATCCGGTAAAGTAAAACAAATACCAATTTGAATTCCTAATTCCGTTGTGGGGAAAAATATTTTGACTGTTACAAAACCTGGAGCTTGCTTTAAAGTTACAGTTATAGTTTGATTTCCAATTTTGCAACAATTTTACAAACTATTGAACATGATTAGTAGTTATTTTCACGATTGTAAGTCTACAATGCCAGATTGAGGGCTAAATCGTCAATGAATGAGCAATTTTAGTGATCGCAAACTGTTAAGCTGAAATTTAAAAGGGGCTTAAAGGACATATAAAAGTACTCGCAGTCCAAGGCGTGACAGAAAACGAAGCGTATATGTCCTGGTATCCTGGAGAATCCCGATGAGAAAATCAAAAAAAGCCTTTAAATAAATCAACATGTCATACCAAATTCTCGAGGAAGCGAATGGCCACCAACCATTATATATAGATTCACATCGTCATTGCATTAAATGGAATGCAGTAGAAAGAAAAACACTAGCAATTTCCATCTCATCTCTTGGTACAACAACCAAATTAGAGACGAGATCGACCTCGAAGTAAACAAAGATATCATAGATGGTGCTTTTCAAGCGACTCCAAAGAAAAGAAATCTAAACAGTGTAGATCTGGTAATCGTTGTGGCCAAAGAACAGGTACAACTCGACCAATCTACTCATGTAGGTAAAAGTCAACAAATAGCGACATCGTGCTGAAATTACACATTTCTCTTGATGTATTACACAAGCAGAAAGGACAACAGTTTGCGCAAGACCTGTTGCAAGAAGATGAGACATTTCGTGCAGTTCAGATGATGATGACCCTATAACAGTTGCTGCATTTCTGAACACGTATTTTACTGCGAATCTTTTTATATTCATCTGCTTTAACCCTTTTTAAAATTCTTATCAGATAACTTTCGCTAAACCTGTTTACTCAAAACAAACTGTATCTATCTTGGCCCAAGCTGGGTGGTAAAAAAAAAGTGCGTAAAAGTGGAGTTTTATTCCATATTTCAGTGAATAATCAAACTTAGATTTTAAGAGAAAAATCATATTTTCGAAAAACAAATTCTTCAACTATTAAGCTGCTAAAATAATTAACAAATCGCCGTATATTTTATGATTGAACTTACTATGTGCTCAGACACTAGTTTGTCATGTTTAATGGGGTTTGTTAGATAAACAATTAATATTAAACTTGTAGTATTTATCGAAAAGGAACTTTTTTAAATACGCATTTTATTAAAGAAACATTTTCAAATTTTTAGTTGGTCTTAGGTGGTTCAAAGTTTCTTTCCATGTTTGGAAGAAATTCACTGATTTTTTATTAGAAAAAGTGCGTAAAAGTGGAGTTTTATTCCATTTATCTTGGTTAATAGAATAAATTTCACGATTATCAGTTTTAGAAAAGGAGATACGACAGTCGTTAATTGTGCTGTTTTCTTTTGGAAGACAATGGTGATTTCTGAGTGGAGGAAGGCGTATAATTACATAAATGTGAACAAAATAATGAAAAATAAACAAAGCAAACTGCATTAGTTTCTAGCAATTTTCCTTTGTACTAATGTAATTAAATTGAAAAAAATGAAAAGAAAAGATGCAAATGCTACATTTTTTCCAATGTCCGCCAGAGGAATCATATTCCGTCCTACAGGCATTCACAGGGCAGATTTGTGGGCCACTTTTTCAGGGGCACCTTATTAGCTGAGCCAAAGTTGCTCCCACAGTAAGGACAGATAGTACAGAGAATGAAAGAACGTCCATGCCTTGCCCGGGATTCGAACCCAGAATCTTTCTGATACGAGGCTAGTTCCCTGACACAGGCCGTCATATGAAAGGACGACTTTAATGTAATATTTCTGGACCCAGCAAATTCGTAATATTAATGGTTTGAAAGCAATATCACTTCAGTTTCGACTTTAATTTAAACTATATTTCTCGAAAAAATGAAAAAGAAAATAAATGAATTGAGAAAGATTGATTAATTTTCAACTAAATTTAAAACTTATCTGCAAATGCGAAAAAAGCGTATGAAAATTGTACTCTTATAGAAACATAATTTTCACACATTTCGAGGTGAATATTTCACTTCACTATACGATTTTTATATGTATTTTTTTTTAAAGTATCATTTCATTTACAGTAAGGCATAGCATTGAATATAGAAGGAAAATTAGATTAAAAATCATGTTACAAATATTATTGTGAATATGCGAAAATAAAATTAAGAATAAAAATGCATACCAAGAAGCCGTTTATAAATTACCTTCTGCCTAAAAAAACTCGCACTAAGGAACTTATTTTTAAAAAAAATTTCTGCAACTTAACAATGATTATGTAATGATTTTAATTACAAAGATTTAAATGTTTTCCATGAACCAGTTGAGTATTTATTTTTAATGATAAAGTAGTATTTTTCTGTTTTATCCTTAAATTCCTGAAGTAAAATTGAACTAAGAATTGGTTAAATTAGAAATTGAATTGATAAAACAAAATGAACTTTTTTTAAAAAAATAAGTATAGCATTTAGTGTTACAAAATTTGCTTAATCGCAATTAATGTAATAAATACCAAAGAATTACATTTAACATTCAAAGTATATACCAGGGTTTCCGCAGGCTTTAAAAAAAATCTAATCCTGGAAAGTGAAAGTCACGTTAAAGATAACAAAAATTTATTACCAATTTAATAATTCAGAGCTTTAGTTGAAATTTTTTTTGAAAAGGTATGTTTCATTTGAAACGTTATATGTGGTAGTGGTCACTAATGATTCGTCTGATTTAGAAAATGAATGATGATAAGAAATTCGTTTCTTTATTGTTATAAATTAATTTTTTTTTAAAACCTGCGAAGAACCTGTTTTAAGAAAACAAGCATATAGTTTACAAAGAATTTATTTTGTTTCTATAAACTATGACTTCCATCCAGGTTATGAAAATGAAACTAGATTAAGTAATTAAAAACTCTACGGTTTCAGGGAAACGAAATTCTTCAAATCGTAAGGAATATGTTTTGATTTTAATAACCAATGGACATTTTAAAATAATTAAACTAGTAATATGATGAAATTTTATTGAAGTTAAACTAACTGTAAACCGTCAGATTATGGAACTTCAGCTGAGTACCAGATGAAGATTTACGAAATTCGTCATGCCTCCTCACCACGTTATCAGAAATACGTCATAATGAGAAGTTCGCCAAATTAATAAAAACTTCGCCACAGTCATCAGAAATTCGTTGTAAAAACATCGGCACACCATAACCTGTAAATTATACTTTTAGTTTAGATTAGGCAAAAGCCAAATCTATTATCAAATTGTATATTCATCTTATCAATTTAATAAACAATTTGTTCTCCTGAAAATAAATTGTTTATTAAATTAAATAAGTGGATAGGTTAATTAACTAAGTTTTGCTGCAACCAGAAGAAAATATTTTCTCGACTTCACCGTAATTAATGACTGCTGACCGTAATTAATTGCAATCTTTTAACTCAGAAGAAAAGAAAATATGGAGTCGGAGTCGAATAAATTTTTTCAGGAATCTGAGAAGAAAATATTTTCTCGACCTCACCGTAATTAATGACTGCTGACCGTAATTAATTGCAATCTTTTAACTCAGAAGAAAAGAAAATATGGAGTCGGAGTCGAATAAATTTTTTCAGGAATCTGAGAAGAAAATACTTTCTCGACTTCACCGTAATTAATGACTGCTGACCGTAATTAATTGCAATCTGTTAACTGAGAAGAAAATAAAATACGGAGTCGGAGTCGAATAAATTTTTTCAGGAATCTGAGAAGAAAATATTTTCTCGACTTCACCGTAATTAATGACTGCTGACCGAAATTAATTGCAATCTTTTAACTGAGAAGAAAATAAAATGATTTTCTTACTTTCTTAATGACGGCAAACTATTTAATTTATATTATTTTGTTGAAAACTCAAGCTAGTAGTAGTGCCATCTGTGTATATGAAATGACAATCATCGTTAAAATGGTGAATAAAGAAGTTTTACTTGCGGAATCGCACTGCTGTAGTTTATAAATTGAAAACATTTAAATTCATTTTATCTTTTGCAACATCACGTTTTCACACAAATTTAAATCACAGATTTAAAGCTCAATTTCACGCATATTGGATAATAAAATAATTATACTGTCTGTAATTATATTAAAATAAATAATATAACAGTATTAACTTGCACTGATATCTGAGTTAAATATAAAACAAAAGAGTAAAACCAAATTGAAAAGTTAAAAAATAAAAATAAATATCGGTAAGGTTTGTTGGGATACGTGGGTGCTCATAAGACATGTCGTTTACATAAACGATATTGCTATGTCGGAGAAATATTATCGTATCGGAACGTGGGAAAGCCCGTATGCTTCTGCAATGCATTTTACTAGATCCTATATCGTTCGTCAGTGTCGTATCGTGCTAGGAAAAAGCGATCTAAGGTTAAAGAAAGTAATTCTTTTATCCTGTAAAAATTATTTAGACAAATATTCATAAATATGTGCATAAAAATATTACTGAAATTAAAATAATAACATTATGAAACATTTTTTTTTTTGGTTTTGTTTTCTGTTGCATGAGATTTTTGAACGAATCTTCAATATTTTCGTCTGGTGCCCAGATAAACAATAAGAATCTAACTTTTCTCTGAGTGATGCGCTACGCAGTTCTAATATTTCGTTTCCCTGGAAGAAATGCAGTTAAAAAACACCATAAAAGTTCAACAGTACATTGGTTCAGTAGATCTGCGATGTTTGATGAATTGAATAAGAAAATTAGATTAGTTTCAGAAACACAAATATGAACGAATATTCTTTACAACACCAAGAGGTTGTCACATGATTTCGATTTGGAGCAAGCTTTTTTCAAGATTCGTTTAAGAAGACCCTTGGCTTTGCAACCTGCACACCCATGGCATTTACCACCACGAATTTTGGTCCCACCCACACCAGATCCTAAGCTTACAGATTCTCTTTTCTGCAAAGTTCTTTCTTGGGAAGACAGTTTCAGACGTATTTGAGAAAGAATGCCAACCAAAAGTTCGTCGACATGATGGTTGATGCCTGCTGAAGTTTCTATAAATTTGCTCCCTTCTTCAATAGCTAGAGAACGTCCATCTATGAAAAATCAAAAGTGCATTTAGAATTTTAAGAAAAAATATTGAGGTTGGTCAAAATAGCAAATGTTTTGGAAGAATTTTCATGACAAAACTATTAGCACAATTTAAAAGATCATGCTTGTATATTTTAGAAATTATGTAATTTTTTCCCCATATAAAACTTGTAACGACCATTGGAAGCTGATGATGGAAAGCTATGCAGTGGACTTCAACGAAAGCTTCTTTGAAAAGCTGATAGATGCCAAGGACTTTAAGCCTATTGCATTGAAACATCATATTCTAGGCATCACTATTAACATACCTGCGAACTCTTCCGAATTTTCCGAAAGATTTTATTTTCATATTTAAAGTGGTAGTAAAAATATGCTATTTTTTTCTTTTATAAACTTAATTTTTAAATGATTTTGATCACCACTATTCTTACAAAAATTTAGCACATATATTAATATGCGTTACTATCATGGTTGTCAACTTAAGCTTTTTCAAATGCAACGTATTTGTTTGCTTAAAATTGAAGTTTTAATTTCATTTTAATACCACCGGGAAAAATGATAATGGAAGGGATTAAAAGTTGGCAGGTATGCTATTATGTATAGATTCTCCTCTTCATTATACAAGCTGTATTTCTGTTTAAGCTGAACTTTTTATTCAAGAACTTAAATTTTATATTTATTACACTATGGGTTTTATCACCACATTGTATATAAATACATAGTCATAATTAAACGTTTATTTGTTATCAAGAATACTTTTTTACTTCTATTCCCACCATCTTATCGAACCACTACATAAATTACGATCAGGGTGAATGGATAGAGGGCCGTGAGCGGCCTCAGGAACTCAGTTCAGTTCAGCATAGGGCGTTGTTAGAGCTAGGGCGATTAAGTAAAATATTTTCCCTATAGGTGTTTTTCCCTCGTAGAGAGTTTGTTACTTAAATGAGTCTTCCAATAACAGCTCAAAATTGAAGTTAATGATTTAATATTAATGAGTCATTATCTAAAGGGATAAAATTTTAAATATTAAGACGTTGAGCGCCACGCTAATTTTACATGGCTTGCCCATCTGGTCACGGTAAATAACTACAAACTAAATTTGCAAATATTAGACGGATTTTTCTATTTTTTTAGATGGTTTATCATGACATATCTGATAAAAGTGGTGAATTGTATAAGCCTACGAATTGCTTGAAAATAGTGGTGGATAAAAATCTACTAAATTGAATTTATTAAACCAAAAATCACAATAATTAAGTAAATTTTGAATACATTTTCTGCAATTCCATAAAAGAGTGTAAATTTTATAGTTCTATATCATGTTATGCGCAGTCAGCCAGTCGTTTTTCGCAGCCTATGTGAAAGGTCAGTGTCAGCAAGTGGTGGCAGACGCAGCCTAAATGTAATTTCAGTGTCAGCCACCGCTGACTGACGCGGCCTAAATAGAAAGTCTAGTGTCAGCCACCGATGGCCGACGCGGCGCTCAACGTGTTAGCTAACTTAAAAGTGTAGTTTTAATAAAAACTGGATTTTCGAATGCAGTTTTTCACTTCTCTCCTGCTTTTGGAGTGGTACGAAGAAGGCTATAATAGATTTCAGTTTATGATGCAATACGTTAAGTTAATTTTTTTTGCTGCAGCCAAAACTGTTATTTTCAAAGTAGCTGACAAGTGTATATGTATGTATATAAACCTGCATGTTCCTTATAAACTTGTACATTCAGACAGAAAATAAACTCTTCAAAAAATATAATTTAAAAATTTTTTTTAGCTTTATGAAGAAAACTAATTTTAGATTTGAAATTCACGCTCTGGAATTAAGATCAGACCTTGTATAACGGCAACAAAAATATTTGTTCCCTTGTACTATTAGAACGTCAGGCATCAGTCAAATTACTCCGATTTCGCAAAAATTATTTAATTTTAATATTTGATGAGCTAATAAAGTTTTTACATTCATTCTTGAATGTTTGGACAAATTTGTCTTCAATTGATTTTCATAATAAATAGTTCATAAATTTCCCTCTCGTAATCTTTATGTGATTTAAAATGTTAATTGGATACTTATTTATAATCTTTTTTATTATTCAATCGTAACTACCACAGTGACTTGTAATTTAAAGTATTCTTTCCTAACACAAAAGCATTCATTCCATTAATTTTCAATAGTAAACTGAAAACTATATTTTGTAAAACGTTGCTAATTTTAATATCTTCTCATAAAATTTTGAATTTTACAAGTCACCACTTTTTTGCATTTTTTAATCGCTCGTGGCAATCCCGCGTGAATAAAATCCATCGTTTGACACTGAGTATCCCTTTTAGGGCCGATTAAATTCGATATTTAATTCAATTCAATTCGCAAATCAGTAGTAAACGCGTGGATTAAAAAAACTTACCATCTGTAGAAAGGACACGATGTCGTGCAAGATCTGTCTTGTTACCGACTAGGATGACAGCTTTCATATCAATGTTGTCCCACTTATGAATCAACTTGAGAATCTCTTTTGCAGATTGAAGACTTCGTTTAGAGTTAACGGAATAGACCACCAGGTAAGCATCAGGGCCGAACGCTTCGGTGAAATTTTTATTCTGTAATAAAGAAAAAGAAATAAGTTCAATAATAATAATACAGAGAAACGCTCTTCAACTAAATTCTCAGAATCGGAAGAAAATATTTACGGGCCTTAACCCTTCAGCGCCGACTGTCACAAATACGCGCCAGCATAAAACCGTATCATCTAGGGTAAAAAGATAAAACTGGTAATAAAGGTAATTCTTTAGCAGTTTATTTGTGGGCGGAGTTATAATTGTTTGATTTATTTAATTCACCATTAGTTTGTTCTAAATAAAACTATTTAGTTATACTTTGAACTAACATTGATTATATATATGATTAAACTAACAATAATTAAAGTAAAGGCAAAGTAAGTCTGTCAAATTAGCAACGACTACATTTAAGTTACCGTTTTTTATTTAATTACATCCTGATTCTGATTTTGTACGAATGCTTTTCTGAATCACCCGTCCCCAAGGGGTTAATTAAAAGATTAATAATATCTTCAAAAAGAACTAGCTACTAAATGTTCTGAAAATGGTTGTAAATGTAAAGGTTGTATTTAGCACCAAACAGAGAATTGTTTTACTATTGAGCATATTTAGAACACATACTTGACCATAATTGGATGCACACATTTTGCACGAAAGAATGTGTTTGATATTAAACGAAGGATAGTTTTCCGGCGTAATTATAGCCAATGTATGTTCTAAAAATTACCTAAAACAAATTACCTAAATGTGTATTTTCAATACAACTCTATCATCACCTTTTAAGACACAGTCTGCATAATTGTATGGGTTAAATATTAAACCAATATGTGCATAATAGTAATCTATACATTTTAAAATAAGTTTAAACCGAGTAAAAATTTCCTTCTCTAAAAGCTACCATTTTAAAAATAAAAATATCTATTACAAATTTTATAATTCGATCTTAAATTTTGCAATGCGAAAATTACTCAATAACGATTGGCTGTTAGACTACTTGGACAACGAAATGACATAGAGATCCTTGACGATTCCGGTCAGCCCATTTGATGTTCCNAGAATTATTTTACTAGTGAGCATATTTAGAACACATACTTGACCATAATTGGATGCACACATTTTGCACGAAAGAACATGTTTGATATTGAACGAAGGATAGTTTTCTGGCTTAATTTATAAGTCAATTTATGTTCAAAAAATTACCTAAAACAAATTACTTAAATATGTATTTTTAATACAACTCTATCATCGCCTTTTGAGACACAGTCTGCATAATTGTGTGAGTTAAATATTAAACCAATATGAGCATAATAGTAATATATACATTTTAAAACAAGTTTAAACTGAGTAAAAATTTCCTTCTCTAAAAGCTACCATTTTAGGAATAAAAATATCTATTACAAACTTTATAATTAGATCATGAATTTTACAATGTATTCTATTGCGTAGGGATTATATGCTTATTGTGTAAGATTAATTTTTATAACAAAATAAATTTCCTAACAGTTTGTAAATTTAAGCTATTTATGCAAAAAAAATTTAAATTGCATTTGTTTATAAAAGGATGGGTAGAAATATTATATTCAACGATATATTTTAAAAAATAAGAGAAATAAAGGTGAGTTACTACATAAGATTTAGAGAAGTAGCGAGTGATAATTTATAGAACTCCCTCGCAGATTTTTTTCTCTCAAAATTAAAGCTATAAAACTAATTAATTAATAATTTTGGTACATTAATGGTTTATTTCTGCACATTTGCCTGCGATTCGGTTTTTAAAAATATACTTGAAATATTGCTTAAACTCACGAAAACCGTAATAGATACTACTAAAAAATTCATTAGACGTAAATAATGCAAAAAAAAAAAAAATATCGCAAACTATAGTGCCATATACAATTAATCTCCAAAATATTCTGCTGAGCAAAGCAAATATTAATGGTTTATTTCTGCACATTTGCCTGCGTTTCGGTTTTTAAAAATATACTTGAAATATTGCTTAAACTGACGAAAACCGTAATAGATACTACTGAAAAACTCATTAGTCGTAAATAATGCAAAAAAAAAAAAAATCTCGAACAATAGTGCATATACAATTAATCTCCGAAATATACTATTGAGCAAAGTAAATATTTAGAATATACTATATAACTATTTTTTTATAATTATATTCTTTCTTCATATAGATCTCTTTAATAGTTGAGTTTGGTCGCGAAAAAAGTACTCTCTTAATAAATGAGTTCAGCTCTAAACTATATAGTGCTATTTTGTTGCCATTAATTTAGATAAATTTGCACAAGAAAACTAATGAATAAATGGCGTCTTTATGTTCTATTTTTTAAGCTTCCCTTTGTTCATTGATGTCTTTAAGGTTAATGCCCCACGAGTAAATTACACCCATTATCAACAAACCCTTTTACCTCTAATGCAGTCAATACACCCTAAAATAGAATCTCAACTTCCAGAGATGTCAGATCCCTCAGCCCGATACTGGGATTCATTTTTTCCCCTTTCAACAGCGGCAATTAACAAGTCACGTCAATCCCTGAGCATCTTAAGTCTGATGGAGACGAGAACGAAGAAAAGGATTTAAATAAATTAAGACTGCCAGGCGCCGTTATCGGAATCAATTGGAGACAGATGTTGTGTAAGTGAAACTATGGATTTAGAGAATAGGTTATGCTGCGAAGGTCATAAAAATAAAAGGGTTCAGGATATAATCCAGTGCAAGAAACTAACATTTTTTGATGTTTGTTAAAAAGAGAATAGTACATCTGCAGAAATAATGCAGCTGCTGTTTTGTGACAATGTGACTAAATATATATTGGCATTTAATGTCTTTTTTTTAAATTAAATTTTATAACATAATTCGAAACAAATTCTACGCAATAAATGTTGCTACTACTATTAAATCGATTGCCTGAATTAAAATGCTGGTAGCAGCGGCAAGAGCTTTTAATATCTCAAATAGCAATGATAAAATTAGTTAAATGTGAAATGAAAAAAGGAAAATGAAAACCTGCATTTGCTTACAATATGCGTATTAAGAGTTAGAGTGATTTTCTCTCAAATAAATACTTTTCGTACCTATTATGGAAAGGGTATATTTTAGGATTTCCTCTTCAACCCTTTGACGAAGAAATTTTATTTAATACTTTTTCATTATTGTGGGTTAATTTAGGTCAAAATAAGTAAAAAGTGTTAAAGTTAGCATTTTAATAATTTATAGTTATGAAATACAGTACGAGACACCAGCGTTTTTCTGAGTTAGAAGTAAAACTTTTCAGACACGGCTCACTTCCAAGCAATAATTTTNATGTAAATAAATACATACCTGCCAACATTCACTCTTTTCGAGAATGGATTTTCCAAGTGGTAGTAAAACAATTATCGAAAAACTCTCTTCCTCAAAAATATATTTATATTTTAATCAGGTTGAAAATCGCTATCGTAAGGAATAATATGCTTTTATATATTTGTTGTAATTATTTATATGTAGTGGTGGTCAAACTGATTTAAAATTATTATTATAATTCAAAAAGTTTAGTGAAATAACATGAATTTCGCTAGCACTTCAAATATGAAAATAAAATCGTCCAGGAAAACCGGCAGAATTGGTAGCTATGTAAATATATACAGGGATGCCAACTGCTCCGCTCTCTGGAAAAGTTTTAATAAAGTGGTAACGATTTTAATAGTATAACTAACTTTCAAAATATGCATAGTTAAGCCTACTTTGAAAAACAGTAACCAAATAATTAATGCTTTTAGGTTGCATGTAATTTTTGATATTTAGTGGTGAACAAATTATTTAAAATTAAAAATACTAAACTATAAATAACTTAAATTTCGTTACCGCTAGAAAATACTATTTTGCAAAGTGGAGCAAGTTGGCATCTCTGTATATAATGGCATTTAAAATCAATTTTTAAATCAAGGGAAAAAGGCCGCTAACGGCCTCAGGCGCCCAGATAAATGTTGATGATGATGATGATTTTTAAATCAAATCTTATAACATAATTAGAAACAAATTCTACGCAATAAATGTTGCTACTCTAATAAATCGATAGCCTGAATTAAATTTCTGGTAGCAGCGAAAAGAGCTTTTAATATCTCAAATACCAAAGATAAAATTAGTTAAATGTCACACCCAAATGAAAAAAGGAAAAGGAAAACCTGCATTTGCTAACAATTTACGTATTAAGAGTTAGAATGATTTTCTCTCAAATAAATACTTTTCGTACCTATTATGGAAAGGGTATACTATATTTACTATATTTTAGGATTTCCTCTTCAACCCTTTGACGAAAAAATTTTATTTCATACTTTTTATTTTATTATTGTGGGTTTATTTAGGTCAAAATAAGTAAAAAGTATTAAAGTTAGCATTTTAGTAATTTATGGTTAGGAAATACAGTACGAGACACCGGTGTTTTTGTCGGCGTTAAAAGTAAAATTTTTCAGGCACTGCAAACTTCCGAGCAATAATTTTTCAAATTTGTATTTATTTGTTGTTATTTAGATCTAAGAAAAACAGTAATTCTTCATGTATGTTTCTTTAATTTGCAAAATCAATTAATGATAATTTGAATATGAGAGCAAAAAATTTTTCTATAAATTTTTTTTCTCTGCTTTATATGTTAGTGCAAATATTATTCTAATAATCTAACATATTTTTACATTTGATTAGAGCGTCAAAAAGAAAACAACTATAAAAGAAATGCCGGCGGTGCCCTATCTGGGTCAGAGGGTGGGTCAAATGAGAGGATGGAGGTCTAAATTAATTATAATTATTTTTTTTAATAAGCAGGTGCTGAACATTCGTTCTTCTCTTCGGAAAATGCCGGAAGTGATGCTCATTTAACACGTTGAATGCCACGATAATTTTACATGGCTTGCTCGTCTGGCCACACGGTAAATAACTACAAACTAAATTTACAAATATAGACAGATTTTGCTAGTTTATAAAAGTTTTAGCAAGACAAAAGAAAGTGGTGAAAAAAGAATTATCTGAAAAAAGTGGTGAATTATATATGCCTATAAATTGTTTAAAAATGGTGGTGGATAAAAATCTACTAAATGGAATTTATTAAACAAAGAATCACAATAATTAAGTAAATTTTTAATACATTTTCTGCAGTTCCATAAAAGAGTGTAAATTTTATAGTTCTATATCATGTTATACGCTGTCAGCCAGCTGTTCTTCGCGGCCTATGTGAAAGGTCAGTGTCAGCAAGCGGTGGCAGATAAAGTCCTAAATGTAATTTCAGTGTCAGCCATCGGTGTTTGACGCGACCTAAATCTGGAAAGTTCAGTGTCAGCCACCGATGGCTGACACAGCTTTCAACGTGTTAACGATCTTCAGTAGCCACCTGTGAATCTTAGTCACGGAGGAGAGCAACATATTTCTCACTGCCACAGATACCCGTTCATAGGTTGGGCCACATTCACACATAACAGAGGACAACTCGCAGAGAAAATCATCCATACCCTGAGCGGGATTCGAACCCACAGCCAGATTCGCCAACTACTACGCTTTTTGTAAAATATTTTATAGAGTGGTCATCTAAAAACCTAACCTTTCGGAATTTAAAGTCAGTTTGTCAACATTTTAATAGCCTCACCAGGAAAGTGTTGATATAAAGTGGCGTTTCATATGAACTTTTAACTAATTTATATGTAGTGACGTGGAAAATAAGTTTAAATGAATAAAAAATAAAACATTTAAACATTAACTTATCTACCACTAAAATATTTTTTTTTTACAAAAAACTTAGAAAGTTGGCTGTTCTGCATAGGCATTAGCTTCGCAGTCAGGAACACTTAACCGCTCAGCCACCTCGCCGGCCTAAATTAATTATATATATTATTATAATTTATAAAATATTATACGCTACCAGTCTTTTTCTTTTTGAAAGAAGTATTAGCAAGTTTCATTACAACGTCGCATGAGAATGCTATTAGTACCAGTCGCCCTAGAGCACAATATCAGATTAAGAGGTCAGATCGTCGACGTCGTATTCTTTGCAGTGGTAGTCATATAACAAATTTAACTATTTAAACGCATTATATTTTTCAAATGATTATTGTTTGGACAACTATAGATTTATTTAAATTAATTATATGTAGAGGTTATAATAATTATTATAATTCCCCTTTCTTAAAAAATGATAAGAAATATTAACTTGTGCCTTTCGTAAAAACTTTAAAAAATAAAATATCATACTCACACTATCTCCAACAAACTGATACTCAAAAAATACTAATTCTGATTCGGAGCCATTTAGAATCACGCCAACCGATTTTTCATTTTCTTCATCTGAAATGAAAATTTTTAATTCACACAACAATTCCTAACAAATAAATAATTAAATAAATACTCTGCAAAGAGATAAAATCAATACATTAGGAAGATTTCTTATTAGAGTATTTCTTATATACAGGGATATCACGTAATGAAGAGTCATTGTAAAGATCTTGGGTTCGTTCCCAGTGGCAACTTGAAACCCTCTCAGCTTCAGATCGATGGGCACCAGTTTATCCTAAAGACCGAGATGCCAACTTGCTCCGGACAGCAAATATCTATTTTAAAGTGGTAGTTTATCAATTGCAATTCTTAGCTAAATAAATTCAATTTAGTAGATTTTCATCCACCACTATTTCTAAATAATTCGTAGGCTTATAAAATTCACCACTTTATGGTACTTATGTTATGCTATACCTTTCAAAATNATACTCACACTATCTCCAACAAACTGATACTCAAAAAATACTAATTCTGATTCGGAGCCATTTAGAATCACGCCAACCGATTTTTCATTTTCTTCATCTGAAATGAAAAATTTAAATTCACACAACAATTCCTAACAAATAAATAATTAAATAAATACTCTGCAAAGAGATAAAATCAATACATTAGGAAGATTTCTTATTAGAGTATTTCTTATATACAGGGATATCACGTAATGAAGAGTCATTGTAAAGATCTTGGGTTCGTTCCCAGTGGCAACTTGAAGCCCTCTCAGCTTCAGATCGATGGGCACCAGTTTATCCTAAAGACAGAGATGCCAACTTGCTCCGGACAGCAAATATCTATTTTAAAGTGGTAGTTTATCAATTGCAATTCTTAGTTAAATAAATTCAATTTAGAAGATTTCTATCCACCACTATTTCTAAATAATTCGTAGGCTTATATAATTCACAACTTTTAATCCCTTCCATTATCATTTTTCCCAGTGGTATTCGAATGGAATTAAAACTTCAATTTTAAGCAAACAAATACGTTGCATTTGAAAAAACTTAAGTTGACAACCATGATAGTACCGCATATTAATATAAAAGCTTAATTTTTGAAAGAATAGTGGTGATCAAAATCATTTAAAAATTAAGTTTATAAAAGAAAAAATAGTATATATTTACTACCACTTTAAATATGAAAATAAAATCTTGAGGAAAATCCGGAAGAGTTGGCGGGTAAGGGTACGTATGTTACGCCATACCTTTCACAATAGCAAGCAAAAATAGTGCAGAGTTATTTACAGTTTGTTTAATTTTTTTTGGCTTGTCTGGAGCAGTTGGCATCTCTGTAAATAGACCTAAATGTTGACTACAATCATGCCATTGTTCAAAAATTGTGGAGCTTTAACCATCGTGACCTCCTGGCCAACAACGGGCTGTTGAAGAGAATGTTTTGGAGAATGTTTGGAATGTCATATGTACCTAATGTAAGAAGTGGTAAAGCTTAAGAAAGTGGGAGATTTATGTCCATTTTATACGCAAATTACGAATGGATTGCTACATGTTGCATATTTGAGAGATGATCAAATTTTGGGCAATCAATTATATTGAAAACCGGTACCCTGGTCTCTCCGAGATTTATTACGGAGTGAAGATTGGTGGTGATGTGGAAAAACAGTTTTTGTCCTTACATAAATTCGTTTTTTCTTAGAATCAGCTTTAATAGACATAAATCGTTTGACCTAGACCTTGATCTTCCTAAAAGTAGATAAAAAATATCATTTCGTTTAGAAAATATCTAATTATTATAAATTCATCTAAGCACATTTTATTAATATGCTAATAGCAACGAAATGAAATGATATCTGGAATTGAAAAACAATTAAATGTATCTGGGAAAAAAAATTGAACTCAGGTATACAGAATCAGAGATGGCAACTTGCTCCGGACAGCAAATATATGTTTTAAAGTGGTAGTTTATCAATTGCGATTCCTGGTTTAATAAAATCAATTTAGTAGATTTTTATCCACCACTATTTCTAAATAATTCATAGGTTTATTGTTTATTTATACCTCGACCCGCCCTATTCTGGGCACACGAGAGTAGAACAAACATTCTACTGACAAAACATACATAAAACACATAAAACGCAAAAAATTACATTAGCAACATTACATTAGGTTTATATAATTCACCACTTTGGAGTACTTGCCATACCTGCCAACTCTTCCGGATTTTCCGGAAGATTTTATTTTCATATTTATAGTGGTAGTAATTATATACTATTTTTTCTTTTATAAACCTAATTTTTAAATGATTATGATCACCACTATTCTTACAAAAATTAAACACATATATTAATATGCGTTACTATCATGGTTGTCAACTTAAGTTTTCTCAAATACAACGTATTTGTTTGATTAAAATTGAAGTTTTAATTCCATTTTAATACCACTGGGAAAAATGATAATGGAAGAGATTAAAAGTTGGCAGGCATGACTTACGTCTTGCTAAGCCTTTTAAAAAGCAAGCAAAAATAGACAAATAATTGCAAAATTTACTTTGTAGTTATTTACCGTTTTTTTAATTATTTTGGCGTGTCCGGAGCAGTTGGCATCTCTGCAGAATATGCGACACAATAAACAGTAATAATGAGAAGTAATTTTAACTGCTAACAATGTTTAACGATAACCTTATATCATCTAGTAGTTTTCACATCGGAAACAGTTTATATCTGTCTTCAGACTTCATACTTTTAAAAATTTCGATGGAAATGTTAAATCTGTCAATATCTAATCTCTTTTTTTATTTTAATTTATTCTTTTTTTGTTACGTTTAACTTCAAATCAAGAGCAAGCCTATAAAATGAAAATTGCGAGAGAGAAAAATTTTTTCTAGAACAATGGATAAATAAATAAATGATTATTATAAAAAAAAAGAAAAAGAAAATTAAAAAAAAAAAATTGCGATAATTTTCGAACAAATAGAAATTTTGAAAAAAGAGAAAAAAAATACTCTCGCTAATGTTAAAGCTCAAAATGGTCACTTTCAGAAGTCAAATTTCAACTTTGTAGTTGCATTTCATTGGACAGTTGATAAAAGAACATAGCTTTTTTACTAAAAAGCAGAGATACCAACTGCTCCGGACAAGCCAAAATAATTTTAAAAAATTAAAAAAAACGGTAAATAACTACAAAGTAAATTTTTGCTAGCTTTTTAAGAGATATAGCATGACATAAGTATTCATCATCATCATCAATATTTATCTGGGCGCCTGGGGCCGTTAGCAGCCTTTTTCCCATTCGTCTTGAATTGTGATCTTTAGGGTGGTTCTTTCTGGTAATTGGAATGCAATTGAAGTAAAAGGAATTTAAATATTTTGAATTTTGGATAAAATTACGTCACTACAAAAGTAAGCTGCCATCGGTCTGAGGTTTATGTCTTCTCTTAAGTTTTCAAAAGTAAAACTTTCGTTGAATCCTGCGGTATCACAATTTATGGTTTTTTCAAAAAATCTGAAATTTAGCTTTGCGATGGGATGATCTAAAGAATCTATGTTGAGGTCGCGATGTATGTTTTTATTTCTGATAAACCATCTTGCTTTTGTTATTTTCCTGAGGATTTTGTTCTGGTGGGTTTTGAGTTTTTTAAGGAGTTATGTGGAGATGTTGCACCAAGCTGGAGATGCATAAGTCAGGATGGGACGGATCATCGAGATGTAAAGTAAACGTTTAAGTCTGAGCTCCATTTTAGGGTTCTGAAGAAGGATTTGTAATCTGTGGTAGGCTGTTTGTGCTTTGTTGATGACTGTTTTGACGTGATCTTTCCAATTAAATTTGCTGTTTATGACCAGACCAAGATATTTTGCTGTTTTGACTATGGGTATCGTTTCGTTAAAGAGTACAACTTGATTTTTAGGGAGGATCGTTTTTCTTTTATGTTGAATGATTAGTAGTTTCGATTTTTGGCCGTTTACTTTAAACTTCCAGTCTAGGCACCAGGTTTCTATTTCTGTGATCTTTTCTTGGAGTTTTTGTAAGGCAATGTTGGGATTTTTGGACTTCACGACAATTCCTGTATCANCTGCCAACTCTTCCGGATTTTCCCGAAGATTTTGTTTTCACATTTAAAGTGGTAGTAAATATATACTATTTTTTCTTTTATAAACTTAATTTTTGAGTGATTTTGATCACCACTATTCTTACAAAAATTAAGCATATATATTAATATGCGTTACTATCATGGTTGTCAATTTAAGTTTGCTCATATACAACGTATTTGTTTGCTTAAAATTGAAGTTTTAATTCCATTGTAATACCACTGGGGAAAATGATAATGGAAGGGGTTAAAAGTTGGCAGGTATGTGAGTATTATAAAGTGGTGAATTATATAAGCTTACGAATTGTCTAGAAATAGTGGTGGATAAAAATCTACTAAATTGAATTTATTATACCAAGAATCACAATTTATAAACTACCACTTTGAAATAAAAATTTGCTGTCCGGAGCAAGTTGGCATCTCTGTAAAAGTTTAGCAGTTTCTAATTCTCGAATTAATAATGAAATCTTGTGCTTTTATATTCCTTAGAACTTCTTGGACTTTTTTCAACACATCTTCGCAATTTCAAATTTCTAAATCTGAGCAGCAAAGCAAAATGCAATGTTCAACAAAAATAACTGAGAAAAATTTCTCAAAAAAGCATTTAATTACAACAACTTTCGAACAAATTGGACTCTTACAAAACACCAACGGCGGTTATAAAAAATATTAAAAAATAAAATATTCCTTGAATTCACTGTCAGGAGTAAACCGAAAAAAATATGCTAGAAAAAAAATTATAATTTTTATCTAATTTAAATAAATTTTTGCTTTTTATTAAGACTCCAATTTTTTGCAGCTTAAGGCACACGTGGCATCTGTATGTATTTTTAATTTACTTAAAGTTTTTGAGATAAACATAAAAAGTTTAAGTAATATTAAAAAAAAAAATATGCAATTTAATCCTCAGTGTTCAAGAAACTTCCATGCAAGGACACTTTTTTTTATGTCATAGTAAAATTTTTTATTTTTTGATATGAAGTAAAAACTCAACACGTCACGGTTTGCTTCTTTCAAACTTATTTTGTTACGAGAGTAAAAGTAATCATTAAGATCTTCGACCATTGAAGATTAAGATAAAATCGAGAAATTGACGTCTATTGACATTCTACCCATAACGACTTTAGAATAATTTTATAGGGGAACTTAAAAAGTAATATAAGATTTAAATTTTTTCAACTGTAACAAGAAAAATAAAAAGTTAATAATTTTATGAAGCTGCATTGCTTAAATATGGTTTAATTGGTTCAGTCAATGGTTAAAATATATATATATATATATATATATATACAGCCCCTAGCCAAAATTATTAGACGCACTATAAGATTCTATGTAAAATCTTAATTATCAGGTAATACTATACATCTTTATTGTTTTCAAGCGACTGAAACCTGTTTGCACTTGTTTACGTTTGTGTATCAATTGGTTAAATTAGACGATATATAATATGAATTCGACCATTGGATAGACGATATATTATATAAGGATAGAAT